TCCTCAGCTACCTCCAGAGGAGCTGAACCAGCATTAGCAGCAGTGGGAAATGTTTGCTGTAGTATCTGATTGTGGAGAAATACCAATGTTCCAGCACGCCACTGCCAGTTCCCATTTTGGTGAGTTTGACCCAGAGCATTTAACGTTTCAGCATTAGTTCTGTGTCTCATAATGCCCTTTACGTAATGATCGCTCATTTGGTTCCCATTAGAATCATGGTATTTCTTCTGCAAACCACTGCTTGTAAAAATCAAGCCACCCAGTTTTTCATTAGATTGTAACACAGGAAATAAATAGTCTGTCTGTAGGATGCATACTGTAATTCTCAAACAGAGAATAGGGGGCTTTGCTTCCCCTCTTGGACATGCAAAGTTCAGAGCTCAAAAGCAAAAACATGAAAGATCTGTTAAGGGTTGCTGAATCTATATCTCCTGCAAAAACACAATGTAGTTAGTCCTTAGTAGATGTTCCTCAGATACTATATTGATAAAAGGAGAGTCTACAGCTCTTTGTAGTCAGGGTGGCAAGAATCCTCTTAAAATTGGAGAAATGGTAGGTGCAGCTCTCGCAGGTTGTCCCAGCGCCACTACCTTTCGAGGCAGCACAGAACGGTTCCTTGTATTATATATACCAGCACTTTGAAGAATTCCGTTTCAAATGTCTCAAACAATGGGGGTTTCACCGCTTCCTGTGGGAGCCTGCTCTGCAGCCTAACTCGTTTCACCATCTGGAGCGTTTTCCTGAGTGTCTGCCCGCTTTTAACTTTCTTTTAATTGTGCACCCACTATTTCTTCTTAAAGGTGGCTTGCCAAAAGTTTCTGTTGTGTGAAATTCATGCTACATGGTGCTTTTTTATTTTTTATGAGGATCAAGAAAACCTTGAAAGATTGATGGCTTCTTCTCTTTGCTTTTTCTTCCTCAGAAATAATAATAAGTAATTAATAATGTATTACTGCTTTTCTAGCCATTCATCTCAGCAATTTACAAGGAAGGTCAACATTGTTGTACTCTTTTTACAGATAGGAAAAACTGAAGCACAGGGCAGGAAACAACTTGCCCAGGATCATTGAATGAGCCTGTGGCAAGACTTGGATTTTTAACCAGGTCTCCACAATAGTGTCCTACTTTTTTTTTTTTTTCTGTCCAGTCCAGTTCCCTTTGGCTTTGTTGGAGTACCTAGGAAGGACAAGCTTTCCATGAACTTTATTCAGAATTGTCATATTGTAACTGAGAGGTCAGCTTGTTGAATATTTAACAGCTACTATCTTTCCAATGTGTTGGTTAAGCATCCTAATTAAGTAGTGATACATAAAACCAACAAAGCATTTTAACAGACTGATTCAGTCCCTGGGGCCTCTAAGCTGAATTTCCTTCAGCTAGCCCGTGTTTTCCCGGTTGCAGATTGTCCAGATTGAACACAGTATATATCAAGCACACTCTTATCAGTGCACTGCAGGGAGATTTCCTTCCTCCTCAGAGCCACCGTGCTTACTTCACCTGTTGTATTTCCCTTAGCTGTGGTTTTCGGTAAGCGTGTTTCTCAGAATCTGGATAGTTGCTAAATTATAAATCTTCCAATTTGGGACAATAACACCGCGATCTGTACAGCACGGTGCACTGCGTAGAGACCGATACCCAGCCTAGCGCTGAACAGGCTCACCTGGCTGTCAGAAGCAGCCTGGCCTTAGCAGCACAGAGCTCTCTGTGGGCTGCTAGCAGGCAGGGTGTTTCTCCTTCCAGCCTTAAAGCTTCTGCCTGTCCCGCCTGTCATCTCAGTGAATACCTTTACTGGGACTAGATCTGCCCGAGCACGTGGTAACACGAGTTTTGTTCCTCACCTCCCCAGGGCAATGTCCGGGGAAGGCAGCCACAGCCACGTGTTCGCAGTCCAATCTGCTGGGAGCTCATAACTGCCCCACACTGATCGGACACCGAACTGACAGCACCCATCACGTGTGAGAAGCAGAACTCTGCATGGATCGAGAAACGTAAAATTAGAGCTCCGGGTAGGCCAGAGTTATATCTGAGGGACAGTACATAGGTCTTCCTGGCTGCTGACCACTTTCAAAATATGCCAGTAAGTGAAGCCCTGACCATCTCAGTTATTCCCCGCACTGCTCCTTCAAGCCTCCTTTATTCCAGATATCATTGAGCCAGTGTCTGAGGATTTACCGAAAGCTGCAAGACTGCTGTAGGTCACTGAGCACATTGTCTTTGCTTTCAGATTGAGTTTGAGAAATTACCAGTGGTGTCATGCTTATGCCTCCTGGCCATGTGAATAGAGGAAGCTAAGACGCAACAATAGATTACATAAAGCGGGGAAATCCCCCTCAAACTTCTCCCACACTATCTCAAACTGAAGTTGATTTGCATACAGACACTACAAATAACTCTGCAATGGCTTCTAGCTCCATGAAAGGGTTACATGTGCTTGCCTATAATCATTTAGGCCAGTTCCACCAGTTGAATCACTCAGAGAAAATAAAAAAAAGACTGAATCAGAGACTGTATTGAAATCTAAGCAGTTTTACGTAGCGTCAGCCTACTTCATGTAAGAATGCAACTGGGTAATTCTATTCCACACAAAAGCAATGGGAAATATTCAAAACCTTTTAGTAACTAGCAGTTATTCTAGAAAAACAGTGTTAAAAAGCTATGTTAAGCTTTATAATTTGTGATTATGGATGGGTGGCGTCATTCTTCAGCTAAACTTGCAACTGAGCTTCCTATACAAACCCTTTTTGGTGCAAAATGGACCTTACTGAAAACCAGAAAAAAGATAGAGTACCCTGCAGTTGAAACCTATGGCTGGCTGCTTTACAAAATCTGAGACTCATTAGGCCTGGCATTCCT